TCATCATCATCATCATCATCATCATCATCATCATCATCATCATCATCATCATCATCATCATCATCATCATCATCATCATCATCATCATCATCATCCCTGTTATCCTCCTCCCTGTCCTCGTTCTTGCCATCGCCGCGGGCACAGCTCCGCATCGGACTTCGGCACTCGTCCTCTTCCTGCGGGGGCACCGAACGCAGAACCATGAGTGGGGGGAGGGAGGAGAGAGGGGGAAGGAGGAGGAGGAGGAGGAGGAAGAGAAAGAGGAGGAGGAGGAGGAGGAGGAGGAGGAGGCGGAGGAGGAGGAGGAGGAGGAGGAGGAGGAGGAGGGGGAGGAGGAGGAGGAGGAGGAGGAGAAGGAGGAGAAGGAGAAGGAGAAGGGATGGGAGGAAGAGGAAGAAGATGAAGAGGAGGAGAAAAAGGAGGAGAAGGAGGAGGGAGGAGGAGGGACGAGGATTGAGGAGGAGGAGGAGGAGGAGGACAAGGACGAGGGAGGAGGAGGACTAGGGAGGAGAAGGAGGAGGAGGAGGACCAGTTTAAGCCCAAGACGCCTCAACAATGTTGCAACAACTACTCCCTCCCAAAATCCCGCGCCATAGGCCCCTACAAATCCGCCACTGTGCCCCCTGGCATATTGAGGTGTGGAAGAATTCATAGGTCTGCATGGTAGAGATTCGCGAATTCTAATAAGGGGAGCGTCCCTCGCGGACTCTTGCCTACTTCCACCCTGGTCACCGAGGCCACTTCCCTCGTCCCCGCTCGAGGATGGTGCACCTCCCGCACGGCAGCTAATGGCTGATCCCCCTTTCCACGCGTGCCCGCTCGAGGATGATGCACTTCCCGCGTGGCAGCTAATGCCTGAACCCCTATTCCACGCGTGCCCGCTCGAGGATGATGCATTTCCCACGTGGCAGCTAATGCCTGAACCCCTATTCCACGCGTGCCCGCTCGAGGATGATGCACTTCCTGCATGGCAACTGATGCCTGAACCCTCATTTCGAGCGATCCCGCTCAAAGATTGTGCAATTCCCGCAAGGCTGCTAACTCCTAGGCCCCTCATCCCACACGCACCCGCTTTTTGAGGATCGTGCACTTCCCGCATGCCCAGGCGCTGCTCCCAAGCGCTTCAAGGCATCCCAAGCAACGACCCCTCGTGAAAAACAGTGGATACGCGTCCGTAGCTCCCAAGACGGCCCGTGCAGGCAACCAAGGACACCACGATAGCCCAAGATGTGTCGAAGACGGCACAAGATGGCCCCAAGGCAGCCGAATATTGAGTCACGACGGCCCAAGATGTCTTCAAGAGGGCCCAAAATGGCCACAAGAGGACCTCCAACAAGGCCCGAAAGAGCCAAAATCAATGGTTGCCCGTGGGTTGTTGGATGATTTTCGCATTCTCGCCTTTTCGGGCTGCCGTCAGCTCAAGACGGCCCAAAAGGACCCCACAATGGCCCAAGGGACATCCAAGACGGCCCCAAGACTTACAAGATCCGAAGCTGGCTAGACTGGGAGATCCTCCATTCTGGCACAGTGAAGGAAAAAGTACAAGTACGCGTATGACACGATAGCACGAATGTAAAACAAGTACGGATCGAAAGAATGAGCCAGGCGAGCTCCGCGAAACGCAAGTGCGAAAGATGTGCAAAGCGGAAGTACGGGTACGAAACAAATACGATAAACATACGACCACACATCCATAGTATGAAGAATACGTTGAACCCAGATCTTTACATAATGATGGTAGTAATAATAATAATGATGATACTAAGCATAGTAGTAGTAATAATAATAATAGTCGTAAGGGTAATGATAATAATGACAACTGTATTATTAAAGCATGAAAAATATGACAAAAGTATCTCTCACACACCGTCCTTACACTTCGGATTTCTGAACTTCTGTACTTCGTGTTTCTGCACGGTTCATGTCTCGTACTCGTACTTCGGCGTGGAACTTTTTCTATTGAAAGTGGAATACGCTGCGTCCCTCTCGAGGGGGGGGCGGTGTAGCTGGCTGGCATCCCTCAACCCAAGACGGGCCAAGAGGACCTCACGTGGGACCCAAGACGGCCTGAAAGGCCCTTCGACGGCCCAAAGCGGCCCCAGGACGGCCCAAGAGAGCCCCAAAACAGCGCAAGAGGGCCACAAAACGACGCAAAAAGGCCCCAAGAGACCCCCAAGACTGCCTCACCGGAGGCCAAGACAGCCCCCAAGATGGCTCAAACGGGTTCCATCATCATCATCATCATCATCATCATCATCATCATCATCATCACCACCATCAGCATCAACAACAACAACACAACAACAAGAACAAGAACAAGAACAAGAACAAGAACAAGAACAAGAACAACAACAACAACAACAACAACAACAACAACAACAACGTCATCGTAATCGTCATCATCAGTAGCATCATCATCATTATTGTCATCAGCATAATCATCATCAGCATCATCAGCATCATCCTCATCCTCATCGTCGTCACCATCACCATCACAATCACCATCACCATCACCATCACCATCAGCACCATCACCATCACCGTCACCGTCATCATCGCCATCACCATCACCATCACCATCTCCATCAGCATCACCATCGTTATCATCATCGGCATTAGCATCAGAATGAGCATCAGCATAAGCACCGCCACCACCACCACCTCCTGAATCAGCATCACCACCCGTATCATCAACATCATCGGCGGCATTATCATCAGCAGCAGCAACATCATCATCATCGTCACCGTCGTCACGGACATGATCAGCGTCGTTGGCATCATCACAATTATCATCATCATCAGCATCATCATAATCAACAGCAGCAGCATCATCATCGACAGCAGCATCAGCATCATCATCAGCATCATCACCACCATCCTCCTCATCATCATGGCCATCATCATCAGCACAATCAGCATCATCATCATAATCATCAGCATCACAATCATCAGATGCATAATCAATCATCATCATCATCATCATCATCATCATCATCATCATCATCATCACCATCGTCATCATCACCATCATCGTCCGCATCATCATCATCATCAACATAATCATCATCATCATCATCATCATCATCATCATCATCATCATCATCATCATCATCATCATCATGGCCATCATCATCATCATCATCATCATCATCATCGCCATCATCATCATAGTTATCGTGGTGGGCGTCGTCGTCGGCATCATCATCATCAACAGCAGCAGCATCATCATCGACAGCAGCTTGAGCATCATCATCTGCATCATCATCGGCAGCAATACATCGTCACCATCATCATCACTATCACAATCACGATCATCACCAGCATCGTCATCAGCATCAGCATCAGCATCAGTATCAGTATCAGCATCAGCATTGGCACCACCACCACCACCACCAGCATCAGCATCATCATCAGTGTCAGCATCAGCATCATCATCAGCTCATCATCATCATCAGCATCAGCAGCAGCATCATCGTCATCATCATCATCGTCATCAACCCAGCACCCTCATAATCCTCATCATCCTCATCACGACTCCCCCAGGCCTGGAAAGAAGAGGTGCCCCCTCGACAGTCGCCACCTAGAAAGCTGGGCTGGCATGGCTCCGAGACTTGCAGCAGGCAGCTAGAGATGTATCTGCATTGCAGGAGGTGGCCCATTGAAAAACAACGATCCGAAGAACCCAAAGAAGGAAGGACAACACTCACCCAGGCTCCGAAAAGGGAGCTGCCTCGCCTGCACCAGAAACAAAGCAATAATACAAGAGCGTTACAATATAAGTTTGGTCGGAGCCGGGGACGCCTCGCTTTCCGAAAGTGCTTGAAAATCCTGCACATCGTGCCAAAACACAATTCCTGGGACTTCTACATCGCGAATCGACAGTACTGTTGCGCCCTAAAGCCTTTCCCGAGACCCCCACACCGCAAATCCACGTTTTTTGCTGCGTCCTGACAATCATAAATCGTGACATCTCACTGTTCCTGAGGCTTCAATCATACGAGTCCTTGCAAACTGCTTTAGCTTATGAAGAGGATTGTGCGCGGCGCTGAGACGAAAGCTGCATTTTGAAAACGACCCGCCCTCCATCCTTGGAACAGCTCGATGACCGTGAGCGGTGAGGAAGTATCAAGCCAAGCGCCCGGCCCACGGACACGCCTGTGGGTGCGACAGGGAGCATTCTGTACAAGGAGAAACGTATGGAGAAGGAGGAGGTATCGGTATCGGTGTCGGTAAGAGTCGACTCGATGCCGGTGTCTGTGGACCCCAAACGGGTCACTGAGAAGATTGATGGGCGAATGGGTCCCAACCTGTAGTGGGGACACGGTCGAAGAGGGAGCCAGGCCTAGAAGGAGGAGGGAGCAGGGAGGACGGAGGAGAATAGGGGGCCGCATGCGAACCCTACCCCTACCCCCCACGATTTCTGAGGGGGGGGGGGGGGTTCACTTCGTTCGGAGATCGTGGTGGGTAGGGGCAGGCTTCGCATGTGGCCCCCTAGAGGAGCAGGAGGACCAGAGTAAATCCGAGATGCATGAGATGCATCAGCGAGGCTGCAACGCGCCCTCCCGCCCCAAGTCCTTCTTCGAAAGTGCCTGCTCCGGTTTCATTCGACCAAGGACCACCCCCCTCAAGCGAGATCCCACGTTGACACAGAACCGTCCTGCATCCTTCTAACTGACGCAAGCTGCTACAACGAGTGCACGCGGCACTGATACGAAGGCCCAAATGTGATAGATACCTGCGATACCTGCGCTCCAATCTTTGGACATGCCCCATATTTATGTTTGTACTGCGCGGGAATAGCGCGAGGATACCACTTTGAAAAAGAATCCCCTCCATCCTTGAAGCGGCTGCAAGCCGTTAAGAGAGTTCTTGCGGCGCTATGGCGAGAAAACACGATCCCATCCATCCCTGACCCTCCCGCAAAAGTTGAAAACGAATGTGAGCAGCGCTCAGGCGAAACCCAAATGTTGACAAGCCACTTTTTGAAAAAGACCCGATATGCATCCTTGAAGGTGCTGCTGGACGAAAGTTCGGGACGCCAATGCGAGGGCCCCATTTTGAAAACAACCTGCCTTCCATTCCTGAGACTGTTGCAGAATCATAGAACGAATGCACGCGGCGCTAAGGCAGAGAACAACATTTTCTTCAAAGGGAACTGCGCGCGGCGCTGAAGCGAGGGCCACACTTTGAAAAAAACTCGTCCCATCTACCCCCGAAAGTGTCGTAGACTTTGAAAACGAATCTGCGCGGCGTTACCGCGAGAGCCCCATTTTGCAGATGTCAAGCTACGTGAGGACGTCTCAGGCGAAACGCCGAGCCCCAGCTGGGTGCGCCAGGGGGGAACCTTCTATAAGGAAAGAGAAGGAGGTGAAGGAGGAAGAGGAAGCAAAAACGAGGAAGAGGAAGAGGAGGAAGAGCAGGACCAATTGAAACCCAAGACACACCAACATTGTTCCATTAACCCTCCCTCCACAAGAATGTATTCCACGTCTGAGACTCCTCAACCGCGAAGAAAACACCATTCCTGGGACTTCAACGCCGCAGAGAGAAAGAATTGTCGCGTCCTGACATCCGCAGCTCGTGCCGGAGCACCGTTCCTGGGACTTCAACACCGCGAATCAACGCCACTGTTGCGTCCTGCCAACCCTGAATCGTGCCAGAAAGCCGTTTCCCGAGACTCCCACACCGCAAATCCATGTGAATGCTGCGCCCTGACACCCCTGCATCGTGCCAGAACACCTTTTCTGGAACTTCCATAACAGAAAATCCTCGAATCTGCTGTAGACGTTACAAACAGATGCTCGCGGCGCCCAGGCACGACCCACATTTTGAGAAGGAACCGCCCTCCGTCGGCGAAACTGCTGCAGGCTTCTTTAGAAACAAGACTTCGGGGCGGAGAGCGAAGGCACCACTTTTGGAGAAGACCTGTGCCCCGGCCAGAAAACTGCTGCAGGATGAAACACGAAAGAACGAATGCGCGCGGCGCTAAGGTTAAGTCGGGCGTGTCCCCCTACAGGAAGATTTTCGACGAAACATAGAAAATACCTTACAAACACCCCAAAGGCAACAAACAAAAAAGTCCCCAGACTATGTTTGGACTATGTTTGGACCATGTTGGGGGTATTTTTCATTTTTCGTCGAAAATCCCCCTGTAGGGGGACAGGCCCGACTTAAAAGGCGAGAGCCGCATGTCCAAAAAGAGCGGCCCTCCATCTGTGAGACTGCGTGATAAAGTACGCATGGCGCTGAGGCGAGAACCGCACTTTGAAAACCACACACACACACACACTCCCTGCGTGAAACGGTCGCAAAATTGTACGACGAATGTGCGCGGCGATAAGACTGCCACGTTTTGAAAAGCAGCCGCCCCTTTCCGCGAAACTACTGCGAATGTTGATGACGACTACGCACTGCAAGGCGAGAGTCACACTTTAAAAACCATCCGCCCCCCATGCACAAAACCGTTGCAAATGTCAAGCTTCAGGATCATGCATGGTGAGGACGGCTCAAGCGAAACGCCCCGCCCGCCCTACTGCCACGTCTGGCGGTGCGCCAGGTGGAGTTATTTATGAAAAAAAGGAATGGAAGAGGAGGAGGACGACGACGACGAGGAGAAGAGGGAGGAGGAAGAGGAGGGAAGAGGGAGATAAAGTGAAGTGCAGAGCGGGCACTCTGTCCAAGCCAGCGTGCCCTCAGATAAAAGAAATACGAAGATGAAGGATGGGACTCCTGTAGCTGGCGGCCCTCCTCCACCTCATGCCGGGAAGGGGGAGGAGGAGGAGGAGGAGGAGGAGGAGGAGGAAAAAGAAGAGGAGGAGGAGGAAGAAAGGAGGAAGGAGGGAGGAGGGAGGAGAGAGGAGGGAGGAGAGAGGACGGATGAGGGAGGAAGGAGGGAGGAGGGAGGAGGGAGGAGGGAGGAGGAGGAGGGAGGCGGGAGGAGGGAGAAGGGAGGGAGGAGGAGGAGGAGGAGGAGGAGGAGAAAAGGAGGAGGAGGAGGAGGAGGAGGAGAAGGCCATCGTCCTCGGCCGCCGCGGAGTCCGGCTCCGCCTCCTCAGCGGCAGGGCCCTCTCGCAAGACCAGCCTGCACTGCGGGTCGCGCCAGCCGGGCTCCCCGCGGGCCCC